GTTGTGAACATGGACCTGTCTCTGCACCTTTGGCAGGGGGCTGGTTGGGGGGAATGGGTAAGATGGGAGAAGAGGTTGTGATTGCTGCCATCTTGAACCTTGTTAGAAGGTTCATGTGTGGAGGAGGACACAGGAGAATGAGCTAGTCTGGGGCCAGAGTGAATGGCTAAAGGAAAATAAATTTTTTCATGGGGAAACCAGGCAATGAGGAATACCCCACAACAAAGGGCCTTGTCTGAGCTGGCTCCTGTCTCTCGGGCCTGCCCCAGTTGTTAGGCACACAGGAGACTGTGGTGACCTTGAGCGTGGATGGTCCCAAACACTGTGCCGCGTGTCTTTGTGCAGCTGTGGAGTCCTCAGGAAGCCCACTGAGAGAGTGGGCCTGTTCCCAGGCTTCAGGCAGGGAGCCAGGGGCTGCCCCTTCACCAGGGAACATTGAGGAGCTTCTGTGTACGCTCTGTATGTGTCTCAGCTTTCTTTGGAATTGTGGCAGAGTCTGGCCCTGCCTGGTCTTTTTTGTGCCTTGGATCCTAAGTTAATAACTGAAGGAACAGTGCCCCTGTTGACACACTTGATATGGAAGTTGCTGTCCAATGGCCATTTTATCCTCGTCGCCACTGACATCACACCATGTACAGTTCTGAGGTTCACACTTTAGTTTTGATTGAATAGAGCTATGATCGTTGAGCAAAAAGCCGCCATTCAGATGTGAATAGACATGTCTAGTAACATGCAGATGTCTTTTGGCAGGTTGATGAATATTTTAAATCTTTTTCAAGAAGTAAAAAGGGTTGAATTGGAAATAGAGAAGATTCTGTGGCAAGAGAAAAGTATATTTCATTTCTCTCTCAATCTTCCTTTTCTTAAAATAATCAAACAAAAACGAGAACCAGGATTTAAATCTTGGATTTGTCATATCCCTTACATCTCTTTCTTTACATGGGAGTTGTGATTATGACTCTCATGTATTGAACCTCAGTTTCTCAGTCACATTCTTAAGTAAAAAGGAAACACTGGCTAATGTTAAAAAATAACAGCAGAATCTCCAGATTGGATCTTTGTCACTTACTTATAGCTAAAGACACAGGACTAAATGGAAAGAAAGGTCATCTTCTGGTGATCTATAAGCTGTGTGTGGTACATGGGCACACCCTGGATTTGTCTCCTCCAGCCCTCTCCAGCACACCCCCCACCGTACTCACAGCTTGAGTCAGCGCAGCTTCGTTTCCTTCATCCCTGTCGGTCAGTTCTTCATTAGTCACTCTGTCACCGCCCCTCGTCCCCCTTCACCCCTCCATCAGCAGAGCTGACACAAGCCCCTGTTGTGCTCAGCATGGCCCCAGCCTTACACGAGCTGGCGTCCGAGCCCGGGAGACCATGAAACAGGTACTGCGGGAAGTGCTGTGAGAACACCAAGGAGAGGAAGTCTGGTTCTGCACAGAAGTGGGACCAAAGGAAAACAGGAGTGAAAAGGTGATTTTGTCCTGGGCCCCGGCAGCGACAGCGAATTAGGAGAAAACTATCCTGACCCAGCAGGGTGGTGAGATTGGAGTGACGATGCTTCGTCCGGTGCCAGGAATCTGCTGGGGGCTATATCTGTTTTTCTGCCCCTTCCCGGGATAGAGGCGAGTAGAAAAGACACTGGTAACCACACGAGTGTGCCTCTAACTGACTCCTTAGCTGGCCTCTGCCTCAGTTTCCCACCTTTCTCCCACCAGCCTACCACTGTCCTCTTAACTCCCCCTCTTCCCTGTAGTCCTGCCAAGCCTCTTGCCATTCTCTGAACATGTGGCTGACGCCCCGTTGACTGTGTCTGTTTATTCCTCTGCCCTGTGGTAAGGTGCCTGTGGTGGGTGCCGTGGGAGATGTCCCCTAGGCGGTTGGAAATAGGAGAGCACTGGGGCTACGGAGATGGCTGCATCAAGAGAGAACTCACAGTTGAAGGCTTCTTAGTTTTATTTTTAGAGGTTTCTTTAAAAACAAAGATCTCTGTGTATTCTCCCAAAGATAGAGGATTTGATCTGATCTAAATAGTTGGGATAGCTCATTTTTGGCCAGGGCCTTATCCTCTGGCTTCCATTCCTGCAGGCAGTCACACATTTGCAACATTCATGGATCAGCCTTTTCCACTGGGGAATCTGGGTCACTTCAGTCATGTTTCTCAAACAAAACATTAGCACTACTTCAGCAGGAAGAATAAAAGCATGGAAAATGCCCTAATGCCCACAAGCCCACAATTGAATACAGAGTCAACTATTGAAAGTATCTACATATGCATATCTGTATCTGTACAAAAACACACACATGGGGAAGGAGAGGTCTATCTTGCCTTAAGCCTTGGAAACTTAAAACTTGAAGATTCCAAAAATTTAGATTTAGAATAAAAATTAAATGGGATAATTGGTCAGTTTTTAAAGAATGATTTTTTAAATGTAAGACAAATAAAAGGTACTTCTTTTTTTTTTTTTAAGATTTACTTATTTGAGAGACAGCATGTGCACGCACTTGCACACAAGGAGGAGGTACGGGGGGGGAGGGGTGGGGGGGGGCAGGGCTGAAAGAAGTCTCATGACCCTGAGATCACAACCCAAGCCAAAACCAAGAGTTGGACGTTCAACCAACTGTGCCACACAGGCGTCCCAAATAAAAGGTACTTCTATTTCACTTAAACATTTGATGACGACATTTATTTATTCTCAACTTTTCAGAAACACACCCTTTAGTTAAGACAGATATACCTGGTTTTAAAAACAAATGCCACTCTTCACACTAGACAGGGCTGTCCTATGAATTTTACTTCTTGGCAATTTTATTTCACCAAACCATATCCTCTTTGAAACAATGGAGCCGATGCCTAAAAATATCTCGGGCTGTGCTTGCTGGGAGTCTTTGAAGCTAAAGCTGTGGCATCCTTCTGGTTTATGGCTGCAGGATGATGCATATATGTATTGTCTTTGTTAATTAACTCCATCTGTTTTGTAAGCCTGAAAAAGAAATTGGATGAAGCTGCATATATGTATGGATGGGTAATATTCCTTTTGCAGTAGTGAGCCAGCAGCTCCAAACAGCTTTTCAGTTTTCCTTTTGCTACCAGTTGCTAAAGTGCTGTGGAGCTAAGGCTCATTCTTCAAGAGCCTGTTGTTGAACTGGGCATCCCATGCAGTTGCACTTGTGTTATCTGTATGAGAGAGGTTGAGTTTCCTTACTGCTTTGGAAAAGGGTAGTGATTCTCCAAGTGCTCTTTCTGTGGCAGATGAAGGGATCTTTCACCTTGCAAATAGAAAATTCCATTCTGGAAATCAGAATGCAAGTGTTCAAGTGGAAGTCAGACTTCCACTGTATATATGTTCCCTTTGGTGAAACCTTTTTTTTTTTTTTTTAGATTTAGTTAGTTAGTTTAGAGGCAGGGAGGGGCAGAGGGAGAGGGAGAGAGAGAAACTTAAGCAGACTCAGCGCTGAGTATGGAGCCTGAGGCAGGGCTCGAACTCATGACCCTGAGATCATAACCTGCGCCAAAACCAAGAGTCAGTCGCTTAACCAACTGTGCCACGCAGGCACCCCTCCCTGGTGAAAAGTTTTCATGGTACTAAATTTCTCTTTGCTGGTTTTAGGGAGGCTAGTTAAAAATTTTCGACAATGGGGATTCCCATTTCTTCCAGCTCGGCATTGTCTGCATCCCCAGTGGGTTAGCCAGAAGAAAAGGCCTGTATGGCCTGGTGGCATCTCCTCTGTTAGGACGGGACAGCATGTCAGAAGCCAGAAAGCGATGGGGTGATGTGGGTTGCTAAGGTACTGGCTGGAGTGGCATGCTCATTAGCACGTTCTCTCCCTCCAGCCTCATGCTGGTTCTCGTGCATGTCTGCAGTCAGTTCATGATTTGAATACCCATCTGCAGAAGACAATATATGAGTTTCTAATTCTCTTCCCCATGGTCATTTTCTTCTTTCCTTCATTCTGAGTCATCTTTGATTAAACAAAACAAAGATGTTACTGTTAATTATGCACCCTTTCGAACAGTGCAAAAATTCTTTTGTGTGTGTGGGGATGGTTTTGATGGGGATAGTAATTTATGATGGCAGTATTTTAAACCATGGACCAGGATGCTAAGAATCATAATGAAAAAAAGTGTGAGTCTCTACTAAGATAAGAAAAATGGTTTCTGCTTTTTTATTCACATTCCTCAGACCTTTTACTTGCTTCCCTAACGTTGTCAACATAATTCCATTCAGCCATTTTTATTCTCTTTAGACATCTTATTAAAACTGAAGCTTTGTTCAGATAGCTAAAATTGCAAATAATAAATGAGGTACCATAATATTGGCAGGTTGTAGGCAGAGTGCATGAGCAAACTGGAAATCTGCCATCCTGCTCCTGGCACTTTAAAGATGAACGTGAAATGGGCAGGGGTGCCACAGAATCAGCACTCCGCTCTGCCAGGGGGTTGGCACAGGGTTCTAAGGTAATCCTGGGGCTCGAGTTCCATGGACAAGTTGGTGCAGGCTGGTGGGTTGGCACACCTCCCAGAGAGGGGAACTCCAGCTGATGGGAAAGAGGGGCCATCCCAAGAAGGCTGTTTTGACAGCAAAGCCCACCGACAGTTAGACAGGAAGTGGGGCACACATGGGCTGGGGGCTAAGGGAAGATCTAAGCCAAGGGGTGAGTTGAATAAGACCTTGGAAGACTCATTTTTTTAATGTGTCCCAACTATGGATGACTTGTAGGCACTCAGAAGATATGTGTGTGTGTGTGTGTGTGTGTGTGTAAGACCTCCATCTTTATCTTTCCTGACTCCAGAAACTCAAAATCTCATGTCGGCCAGGTCTTTGCAGTTGCAGGCAGGTGTTTGTGGCAACTGTGACTTAGCAACAATTGTATGAACGAGAAAAAAGTTGTGGGCAAGTTGATTTTCTGCAGCAAATGGAAATTCTTTGGTGGTACTTTGTGGGAGGTTTATAGGCAGAGTGTTCAGTTCTTTTTTGATGTCTATTTTTTTTCTTCTACAGTTTTTTGAAGCAGCAGGATGCTGATCTAGACGTGGAAAAAGTAAGTTGACAAGTTTTGCACTGAGAGCACATGCCTTGTGAATTAGAAAGGGTGTCCCATTGGGACCCAGGACTTGGTCCACTTTGAACTTGGGATTGTGACTCTGAGTCTGTAGGTTTCTAGGAGAGAGACTGAGTTGGAGAGAGACTGAGTTGGAGAGGGAGCTGGTACATGAATAGAAAGTCTTCCCTCACTTAGGTGAATCTACCATTTTCCCCTTCTCTTAGTTGTAACACTCGGTTTTGATAATTATGGGAACATATTTTTTAGCTATACGATGTGTCTCCTTACCCCAGAAATAGAATGGGACAGCGGTCCTGTGGCTGATGAGCCTTCAGGGGCTGCTGAGGGGTGGGTAGCACTCTGTCTTCAGACTGGTCAAGGAAGTCCATCCATTTTTGTTTTTTCTCTACTCTGAGATGATTACTGCTTACCTCTGCCCTAGTTATACCTTCGAATTGTAGTCACTGTGTCGCAGATCATTCTTGCATTCACTGAACGTTTTTTTGAGGCACACTGCGTGTTAAGCACCATGCTGGAATCTGTTGAGACAAAAATGAATTTGACTGACAAGTACACAGGCAATGATTATACAATGTGATAGAAGTGTGCAGAAGGGGCTCTAGAAGCTCAGACTGAGGCTGGACTGTCCAGAAAAGCTCCCTGATGGAGGGGATGTGTGAAGGAACCACATATTCATTGCTTCTGTAAAGTTTGCTGAGTCTTCTCTGCTTGTACTTCGCTCGTCTCCCAGGTGTCTTGGGTTCCCATGAAAGATTGGCCTTAAGTAAGTCTCACTAGCCACCGTGGGATCCTCTTCTGCCCCAGTCTCCACTGCCCAATCACATTGCCTTGGGGGTAATTTTTCAGCAGTTCAGAGTTACAATCCTCCATTCCCTGGCCAGTCAGGGGCTCCACTTCATCATCTAAGAATGACTTGGGATTATTTCCCATTTTGAATTTGTGTGTAAGACAGGTTCTTCTCCCTGAACCTAGAGCCATTCTTATGCAGTTGGTGTACCTTTAAGTTACTATCTGAAACCTCCTTCTAGTCTATGGCCATCCCACCCTGAACGCGCCCGATCTCGTCTGAAACCTCCTTCTAGAACAATTACGAGCAACCCCTGACCTTTGTCCCATGCAGCCCCCTAGCTTCTGCAGAATGGGCTGTGATCTACTTTCAGTCATGGCCTTTTCAGCTCATGCAAACCAAGGTGACTCAGGCTCTAGTCAGGGCTACATTGGAGGGGAGCCTTTTCGAAATCCCAGTGTGCTTAGGTTTTGGGTGTGGAAGCCAGGGGCTGGCAAAGGTACTCCCTATGGGGGGTGGGGGGTCATCACTGCAGCCCTCATGGGCCAGGCTGGCCCCAGAGCAGGCTAGAAGAGCCTTTGGGTGCCAGGAGCCACCTCGGGATGGTGTAGCGCAGAATAGCCGGACTAGCCAGACGGGTTAGGAAATGCCTGGAGCTGTTCCAGGTTGCAGGGCTTGCCCTGCCTTGTGAGAGGTGAATCCTACAACCATGAAAGGGGGAGGTCCAGTTTATGGAGGAGGCGGGTCTGTTAATTGTGTTCTCAGTACAACCCAATGCCAGGCAGACAAGAGGGCTCAGTAAATGGGGTGTGAAGCCCTGAGTGGAATGAATTAGAGTCTTGCTTCAGCTCTGCTGTTCACTTGCTCTAAGACCTCAGGCAAATCTTTTCTCCTGTACAAGCCTCATTTTTCTCATCAGTAACATGGTCCATTTTCCAGGATCAAGTAAAATTCTTCATTTTTTAACTTAAAAACATAAACCGCACATATTTCTTAATTTTCTGACTTGGGCTTTGTACCAAAAAGGACAAAGGGCTGTTGGCCACAAGTCTGAAGGATGCTTAATAAGGCCCACCAGAGGCTGGGAGGTCCTTGCAGGCGCAGCCTTGTCTGTTGTACGTACCCTCAGGGGCAACACTGGCTGCAATGAGTATCTAATGAGGGAATGAATACTGTGACTGACCCTGTCATGTGGGTTGGGTATTTGTAAGTACTGAGGGAAATTCAGAATAAGAGAAGCTAAAAGGGTGGTGGGAAATGCTTCTTGGGCTGCGTGAATTTGAGCTGCCTGCAGAGGACTCTGCCTGCTGCACCCTCTCGGTCACATAGTTAATGACCTGGAAAACACTTAACCACCCTAGGGGAGTTTACTATTTTAAAAGTTCTAATTCAAAAGCTCCAATTCCAAAATTTTTTCTAATGCTGATAGAAGGCTGTTGAGCACAGATGTGTAAATTGTTCTTTTCGCCTGTATTTATGTATCTGCCAAGAAGAATCTAGAATAGGGTGTGCCTCTGCTGTATAATTAAATGATACCTGCTGGCCAACCCAAGTGAAGAAAAATTACAGAAGTCACGGTGTGTTTTTTTCTAAATGGATTTTTGAGTTTTCTCTTTTAGTCGAACATTTTTGTAAAGATAGAACTATGAATGGAAAATTAGCCTTATCTCGACATGTGAAAGCTCAAAGATAAATCAACTAAATCCTGTAATTAATTATTATCTATAGTTTATTGAGCTTATACTGAGTGCTTTCTGTGTGTCACACTTGACCATTACAACAATTTTGGGAGGGAAACATGTCCCTTGCTTGAGGCACTACGGTAATAGCAAGGATTCTAATTCTGTCTTGGTCTAGAGCCTTCTCTTTCTCATACCCTACCTTACCTTGAAACTGATACAATATTTGGGACAATATATTTGTGTGACCTCTTTCTAAAAAGTATTACGAGTAATACAAAGGCAGTGTTACTTTCTAGAGAGGGCTTCTTTGACACTTCCCCGCAATCTGGATGGGGTTCCCCTGCCACCATGCACTTCTTCAAAGCTATCATTGTTGTATAGTTATTTGTTCAATAACCATCTAGTATCTGTTCCCTCTTGAACTGTAAGCTTTGTCAGATCTGAATCCTTACACGTGCTAAGCCTAGTGCCTGACTTATAGAATGCCTTCTTAAAATGTTGACTACAGGCATGAGTGACTGGCACATGACCAAATTAGGGGGTAATGAGAGTCCATTGAAAGCCACTTTGGTAGGTGGCAAAGTAAAAAATCTTTCTGTATACTCCAGAAATCATGGTTTTCTTCTCCATCTATAGGTTTTATCTGTGGAAACCATGCTAGTTAATAGCATTACATGGAGATAAGACAATCATTCCTTGACTTCCTCTTCAAAAGTACAAAGTTTCAAGCAGACAAATGAATAGATTATTGCAAAGAAAGTCTAAGGATAAAAGAGGGAGGAGCAGTAAGAGCACAAGGGAGACAGCAATACTGCTTTGTTTTGTTTTTTCCACAGAATCTTCTTGAATTATTAAGGGATACACTTCTGAGTATGGTTTACGTAAATCACTGATTTAAATATATACAGTGTATCTTCTAAAAGTAAAACCCATACTCAACTGAATTTTAAAGAATATGTAATTAGGCTATGTCAGAAGGACAAAAATGTACTTTTTAAAAAATAAAACTGATTAAATTGGGTTATCCTATTTGGTGATTTAAATCATGATTTAAATGGATTTGCTTAAAATAACATCTACTTTGGTCATAATGACTTTCAAAGGGCTAAGGAGAGAGGTTTGATTTCCATGTATCCTAAATGATTTTCATATATCCTGCATGGCCTTTGTCTAGCATGATTGAAAGTATTTGGCACTTGCTTTGAAAGAGATCCATCATTTTTGTAGTTTCAGTGAGAACAAGAATCCCTGTATTGCTATTCTGTTTGCAGGGTTTGGATAGCTGCCTTTAGGCCACAAATATGGCCATAGATACTACTGTTTGATAGATACAGAGGCCACCCCAAATAAAAATTGTCATCGAAAGAAGAGTAAAGAGAATGCTTTAGAATGTTTCCTTTTTCCCAGTGAATTCCTTAAAATGTGTTCATCCGTAAATGTAGAATGTACGTAGAAGTTGCTCCATTTTTCAATTTTTTTTTTTTTTAAAGATTTTATTTATTTATTTGAGAGAGAGAGCATGAGAGGGGGGAGGGTCAGAGGGAGAAGCAGACTCCCTGCTGAGCA